CCTAAAACTTTTAAAAAGAAAAAAAAATCATTATTATACACATCACTTACAAATGCAAACCTAAAACACAAACCACAAATTCATACAAAAATAATAATGTAGATCATAAGTAAAATATATCCCGCCCGTAGGACGGGCCGGCTCTAGTGATTCATATATAAAATTGTCATAAAATTAATATATGAAATAAAATTTATTTTCTAAATAGTATAGATATATTTATATTTATATTATATAAATATTGATTATTTTATGTTTTGTTATTAACAATAATGAATGATATGTGTAATTATATAAATGATGTTATCTTTTAAATGGGAAATCTTATTCATTTTAAAAAGTTAAAGTTATTTTCAACTTTTACTTTTAAAATATATAAATTTATTTTCTTGGATGGAAAAATATTTTTATATTATTAAATAAAGTAATTTATATTATTATTTTTATTGTTATGTATTTTAACTACAAATGACCTACCAATTGTGAACATCATCATCTTGTAAATGGTAATATAAATATTTTATAATAGATGTTGATTGGATTATAAAGAATATTATGTTTTTGCTAATTCTCTACAAATGAAGGCCAAATATATAATTCGTAGATTTATGGTTACATTTGTAAACTATATATTTCCTAATGTACACATATCATATATTATGTTTGTATAATTATTATTAATGTATCATCAACTGATTATAAATGTAAGAAAACTTATATATACATATATGTAATTGTATATCTTTATTTTATACATATTCATGTGAGTGTAAACAAAAGCATAATTAATATTAAAAATGATAACCATTGTAAAAATTAATTAACCTAATATATGGTTACTGAAAAATGACTTAATTATTTTTAATAGATGTTTATAGAGTTTATTCAAGTAAAACTATAGAAAAGAGGCAATGTACGAGTTCTTGATATGATAGCATATTCGATGAGAAAAGCATATATATTTTGAAATAAATAAAGTATTTTGGTATTAAGCATTAGTTGAGGTTTATTTTATTTTGGGTCGGTTAATAATGGAGTTTTTTTACATCCAAGGGCAGTTTACAAGTTTTTATTACATGATGGGTCAGTTATTGCTATAGAGACAGTTTTTTCTAACAAAATGAAAACTAGAATCTATTTGTTTAGTTTCTTTTGGTTTAAGTTAGCAATTAAAAATAATAATAATAAAACAAATCTGACTTTTTCTTCTCTGAAGAATTTATTCTTCTCGTGATTCATCACCATGTATCATCTTTCTAGAGCTGCAAGCACCGCAGCCAAGCTTCTTCCTCCACTATTATTCTATAACCTATCCCTGCTATTGGAATGAACTCTCTCCTCTTCGCCGCAACAGGTTCAGATAGACGCAACCCTCGTGTCGTAATCGTCATGCTCGAATCCAAGCGGGTTGATGTTGGACAAAGAAGACCTATGGGGTTTTGGTTATAATCTGTCAAAACTTAAAAATTCTGAGAAAATTTTTATTTACGTTTGGTTTTTGGATCTAATTGATTAATGACTACAATATTTTTAAGTTTCTTGAGATAGAAAAATGAAGATTGCATGAAGAAAAATCAATGGCGGCTCTGAGGTTGAGTTGCAGAAACACAGGATACCCTAATAGGAAGAAGATGACTTAATTACAAAATTGCCACTTGTTTTAAAAAAATGTGTACAATTATATGTGTACATATGTACATCTTCACATATGTACACTTTATTATTAAAACAATGTACACTCGTCACATGTGTACACTATTTATTATTAAAGCAAAAAAAAAATTTACATGTGTATAATTATATGTCTGCATGTGTACATCATCACATATGTACACTCTTTATTATTAAAGTAATGTACCATAACCATGTTTACATGTGTACGTCTTCACAAGTTTATGTATTTCGTAAATATATACATTGATGTGTCCACCTACTCACATTTTCACTTCCAAAACTCCAGTCTCCGTCATTAGTTGTACACGAAACTGCGATGCAGACAAAAAAAAAATGTACACAATCATTTCTGGCAATGTTGCATGCAATTTTAACTATGTTTTAACGATGTCCACATGTACACCGTTGTAACAATATTCATATGTACATTCTATTATTAAAATAATGTACCATGCGGAATATCGTTACAACGGTGTACATGTGGACATCGTTAAAACATCATTAAAATTGCATGTAACATTTCCAGAAATGATTATGTACATTGTTTTATGTCTTCATCGCAGTTTCGTGTACAGCTAATGGTGGAGACTGAAGTTTTTGAAGTAGAAATGTGAGTAGGTGGACACATCAATGTATACATTTACGAAATACATAAACTTGTGAAGACGTACACATGTACACATTGTTATGGTACATTATTTTAATAATAAAAATTGTACATATGTGATGATGTACACATGTAAATTTTGGTTTTTGCTTTAATAATAAATAGTGTACACATGTGACGAGTGTACATTGTTTTAATAATAAAGTGTACATAAGGAAACAAAATTCACATGTACATTGTGTTAACATTATCGTGAGTTCATGAAGTCATAAAAGATTACTTATTTTGATTGGAAACCTACAAAAAGGCCAAAAATGTGTACACAATCCTTTTGATGTATAACAAAAAATTAGGTGTAAACATGTACACTCTGAATGTAATGTACACATAACTTTTCTTTTTGTTCATTAATATTGTAAAATTACGAAAATAACCTCATCTTCTTTCTTAGCCATTGTCGACCAGAACTCTAATCTCCGCCTATATCGCCTATTTTCCCTGATTCTTTACGTTTTTAACTATTTTTAATGTATTTTTACCCAGATGTGATAGTTTTCAGTCCTAATTCATTGTTTTAGTCTTAAGTTCAAACACTTGTAAATTTTTGGTTTCTGATTTGTTCCAATGACGTCTGAATCAACAGCGAGATCTCACAGTGATCTGTTGAAAAAAAAAATTGAAAAGAGAATCAAAGAGATTTCACAAAGATCGCTTAAATAAATTCTGTAAAACTCAATTTTTGGAAAAAAATTAAAAAAGATTTCTGAAGAGTTGTGATGAAATCTCGTTAATATAATAAATAGATATAGAACTTAGTTAGTGTATGCAATTATTTAGATTAGAAATCAAAGATTTTAAAATGAGAAAGCTGAGAATAGTTTGAAAAAAAAAGATGAAAGAGAGATGAAAGAGGATCAAGAAGAGAGTATAAGAGAGAGAAATGATGGTGGTCCTATTACTTACAATATTGTTCTGTTCTAACTTAAAAAAATGAACGATGTGTGATAAAGTTTGAAAAAAGTGTGTGTGTAGCTGAAACTGTCTTATCGTGTTATAGATAACTTAAAACTGTCTTTGAGTGATATATTTTCTTAATAATGATGGGCCTCTGAAAAGGCATAGTGTGTTGATTAACTTTCCCGCATGCTTAAGATTTACTGATACGACATTAGAGTTTCTCAGCATAACTTTTTCGTCTCGGAAATCAAACATTGTTCTCTCTTTCTCTGTTGTGAAACCTTAAATCAATCAATGGCGGAATCTACATCGTCATGTATATTCGGACACCTAAGTCATGAATAATGTGATTCCTCTTCAAGGTTCGTTAACTATATCATCTCTGAGGATGCTCTTGTCAAGTACAATGATCTTTGTAAGAGAGGGTTTCTCGCTTAAGGAATCATGTCACCTATTGAGGTAACTCTTACTCAAGAAATATGAATTTTGATTTTTGAAGTTTAACAAATTTATTTAATTTATTAATAAATGTTATTTTACATATTTGATTTTTAGATTTTTATTTATTTTTAATTATATTTATTATTTTAAATATTTTCTTATTTATTATTTTTCACAAAATAATATATAACTGACATGTCACATATACCTTATGATACACATATGAACAAATATCGGTCAAATTCTTACGTGGTAAATAAATAAGTTAGTACAATTGGTTTGGTGGTTTGGTTTTAAGTGTGAGTTTTTGAGCACCAAATTATAAAATGCTTCCTTCTTACACACTCATGGTTTAAAATGCGATTTTATCTTATTATATATTGGGATTTAATTTAAATCAAGGTTTTTAAACCCGACCTAGATACTGAATCGGTAAATTTTTTGAATACTGGGTTATTGGATCGATCTCAAGCGCATAGATTAATAAGCTAATTAATTTTAATATATAATTATATATTAGCTATTAAACAAATAAGAGAAATTTCACATTTTACAAAAAAAAAATAAAAAATATTTAAGACTAATTGCAATTATTTAATAGCTTTTTGAAAAAAATGGGACATATAATAAAACATAACGAAACTAAATCTCATTAGTTTTAGATATCTAATATAACAAAAATTAAAATTTAAATCAGAAAAAAAAAACTAAAAGTAAACATCAAAATAGTAATAGGGTCTTGATAACAAAAATAAATTTATACCAAATATCATTACATAATTTTGGTTCTTTTTATCATCATTCACTATATCTTTTTCAGGTTGCATAATGAAATGTGTATCAAAATCTAGATATCATAAAAAATAGTTTAGGAGATATTATAAATGATTTTACAAAATTAAATAAGATCAATAAACAACAAAACATTATTTAGTTAGAAATATATAAAATCCAGAAAACAAGATTAAAACATGTGATTCAAGAGAGAAATAAAAACACAATTTATATTATAGAAGAATATAGTAATCTAAAACAAATGTTATTCATGATTAACAAAATAAGCAAAAACAATTATGATAAAATCACAATAGTTCAGAGATTTTTTTTTCATCAAGTTTGGAGATTTATTTAGTAAGAAATAAATAATGTCATTAGAAATTTAAATTTCGCTTTGAATTGATTCCAAATCCTAAAGAATAAAAAAACACAAATTTTGGAAATACAATATCTAAACTTGCACTAAATAACTTCCTTCACATTAGAGCGTGAGACCCAAGTCGTGCAAAACCAAGATTTGGATCCTTATTTCACTCTCTGTTGTTCAAAACCATCGATGGATCATAAAGCACAGTCTGACACACGGGCAACTGTTTTTGCGTTGAAACCACTCCAAGAGACAGCCATCGTGGAAAATATGGGAGCAACTCATGTGTGTAGGAACACCATGCTTCGAACCCGAACTGGGATTGTCTAGACATATGGAACACGACTCTGTTTCCATCTTACGACTCCTCATCATGTCCTCTCTGTCCATCTTTCCAAGTTGAACGATCCTCAAAAACACCACGTACTTCAATGGTGATTGAGTAATGATCTTGACAACGATGGAAAAACAGTTACGGCCAAAACCTAACTTAGTTGCAAGATCAGAGATATGTGGGGCTAGGTAATCAGATAAGCAACGATGGCTAACAAGTGGATCTCGAAGAATCTCTGTGCTACTAAACCCTAGTTGGGTTGAAGCCTCTAAGATATATGGACCTAACCAATGACATCTGATGAGTTGACCTTGGATAAGGTCTCGGATGTAAGGGAGACTTAAACTACGGAGACTGATGTGGATGAGAACGCTAGGGAAAATTTGAATGTCGTCATCAGATAATGTGTCCACGATGATGATGATGATTGAGTTATCTGATGAAGAAGGACGTATATCGCATTGTTTGATGTGATAGTTGACATTGGGACGAATCATGTTTGGAAAATTCAGAAAGAGAGATTCGCGGAGAGATCGAAATAAGCAGAGAATGAATTATGAAACTTCTTGGGGTTATGTAAATGAGATATATATAAGCTTTGGTTCATTTGGAACTTTCCTTTTTTGTTTTGTGTTTTAATGGTCATATAATCGTTCACTTTCCTTTTTTTCTTCCTGCTTTGTTAAAAGTTGTCTTTTCCTGGTCCAAAATTTATTTACAGATTAGAAATAATAATATTTTGAGGTGGAACAGATAGCTACTATTCATTTTCTGAACCCTAAAAGTGGTTTTATTAATTATACTTCTGGTCGAGGACAATTATAATTTCTGCTCACATGGTATGGACTTGTTGTTTTTCTCTAGCAGGTTTTATTTGAAAATATTACCTAAGTTTTCCGTCCTACTTACAAGCAAATAAATTTATATCTATACGTCTAAACCATTGGAAGTTTGCGTTGAGATGTCCGGCCGGTTCTTGTCGTTCTGATGTACATTTGTTTTGGTTGGCAGTGCTTAAGCAATCCATGTACACTGTTTCTTAGCTAACAGATGTACACAAGGTGCTCGACTAATTGTACGTTAGGACAGAAACTGCTCCTCCTTTCTTAATTATTTAAAAACTGCTAAAGACATTACTAAGGTTCCCTCACTCGATCTAACTGGTGATTTACAAGCATGATCTTAGTTGATATGGGAGTCAACATTGGGATAGATAGTTAGACTTCTAATACCTTTGGGAGGAATGTGATTGGACCACCTGCCAAAAGATTCTTCATAAGTTTAGTACTAAAAATCTTTAAAGTATAAGAAAGAGTTATAAAAGAAGAATGAAAGTGTTATAAAATACATTTTTCTATGTTTTTAATCAAATGAATCTAATCTCTTTATTTTTAGAGAATACATTTTCTTTATTTTACACAAGTAGAAGAAAGAAGCAAAACAAGTTGAATGAACTCAAAAAAAAAAAACAAAAAAAAAACAAAAGTAACCTGCTAGATTGGATGAGAAATAGAGCCTCAGTGAGAAAACTCTCTCAGACACAATATTTGAGGCAAGAAGCATCTTAGGAGTTTAGAAGGTAATAGTTTGAAAGTGACCAATCACTTTCTTATCAAGTAAGGAAATCACTCACTGGTCTCTTCTCTTCACCTTTTTTGAAGTCATATTCTCTTTACAGAAGCATCCTTCAAGAAGTTCTTCATACATCCAAACACAACAAAGTTTCTAAATCTAGAATCTAAGGCTCTTCAGGATATTCGCTACAAGTTTGACACCAAATATCTCTCAAGAAACGTCTCCACAAGATTGAAGACTCACACCTTTCCATCCAATGCTCACTTCCACTCAAACCTAGATGCATCTAAATCTGTTTTCCCGTAGTAAGCTTGTACTCGGAGTCAACTGAAACTCCTCCAGTTACGAGTCGTTCTGTAAGGAATCTGACTCACAGATTTTATGGTGCCTAAATTCATGTAAACTGAAAAAAGGAAAATACCAAATGAGAAGCGAGCAGAATAACAACGTCAAAAGAACCAAAGCTCCAAATGTTGAAAACTCAGCTCCCATCAAAGATGATGTTTTGACACTCATCGGAAGACTTACCAACCCCCAATAACATAAGATATGGGCACTCATTCCAGCTATAACACGCAAGTGGAACCTATAAGGAAGAGTGACATGGTCAGAACTGAGAAACAATTGTTTTCAGTTTTGCTTTGAAAGAGAGGATGACCTGAGAAGAGTCCTTGATAATAGACGCTACCATTTCGTTTATTGGATGCTCATTCTTCAGAGATCGGAACCAGTAATCTCCAACTTGTTTCCCTCTATGATTCTGTTCTGATTCAGAACAAAATGGCTTCTTCTCCACTTCTTGCACGAGGATATGGTAGTCCGAGTAGGCCAAGAACTAGGAACCCTTGAAAATCATGAGTTGACGCGAACAACAGCTAAAGTCAGAGTTCATGTTGATGGGTTAAAGCCCCTAATAAAGGAATCATAGTTGAATTTGACTTGAGTGAAGAGAGTCTCATTACCTTGGAATATGAAAAACTGGAATCACATTGTTCCATTTGCACCTCACTCCTTCACGCTAGAAGAAACTGCCCAATGAAACCAGAGAATGAGCCATACAAACAGCAGCTCTCAAGATCCCCTTCAGGAGAAGGCTTCTTCAGATCTGAAACATCAAGAACTCATAAGGAAGGCTCAACCAAACTGGAAGCAAAGACTGAAGGGGTAATCACTAACCAGCAGGCTTTTAAGGCAAGAGTGTACATATATGGAAACCCGTTCGGGGAAAGAATCAGTACCAAAAAAAACTTCTTTCCCTCCACCAATGAATGATACAGGGGCTCTAGACCCCAACAATCAAAACTGGAAGAGCCTCAGAGATACTAATCTCCACAGTAAACTCAGAATAGACAGCTTTCCAATAGAGCTCCACAGAGAGGGAGAGACCTCTTTCCCCAGAGAAGTCAGGGGAAATGGAAACCTAAACTTATCACAGCTCCAAAAGATAAGATTAGCAATGCGCCTAACCATCTAGATCCTACTACACAGAAAAATCACATCACTGTCAATTCTCAGCCAAATGATGGTGAGACTTGTGTCCAAACAATGGAAGAAGTGATGGAAGACTTACATCACCTAACAAGACAGTACCTAAGTTGTTCTGACCCTGTTAACACAGTAGCACAAAAACAAAGAGTGAATGTTGACATGGAAGAGACAGCAGCAGCAACTATTGCGGGTGAAATACGCCTCCTTGAACTCTCTGCACAGCTAAGGGGTGTAGATAGTAATGCAATTACTCCTCCACCCAGACAAGACTACTTTATCCAAGATTTTCTCTTCCCTAACCCTTTTGTACTTTATAGCCCCCAAATCTAGGAGCAAGAAGACATTGGATTGGATCCAGGATACAGCGATGTCGAATTAACTCAGAAGAAAGAAACTGAAGGATCTGCAAAGCTCAAATCAATTACTATCAGTTCACCAAATGCATTGGACGAGGCACCTCTACCAGTACAAGGAACTCAAGAAGTAGTAGAGAAAAAGGAAACATTACAGGAATTTCAAAATATATGAAGAGGAGATCTAGAAGAAACCAACACGGATGATCACTAAGAAATAGTCCTAATATTTTTCGGGGAGCAAGCTGTAAAACGAGAAAATTTTCACAAATTCAAAACTCACCAAGAAGAAGAGGAGAAAACTCTAGGGGAAACTCTACGGGTAGGCAAAAGAAAACCACTACTTCAAAGAATATTGCAGGAACCTCTCAGAGTACGACAAAGCAGCCAATCACACTAATCCCGGCGATAAAGAAAAAAAATCAGATTTTCGGGTTCCTCCACCCCGGGCTCCTTAGTGATTCTAAGCTGGAATTGTTGTGGAATGGGGAACCCTGCAACAGTCCAGCGGTTGAAAGAGATCCATATAAGGAATGCTCCAGATATCTACTTCCTCATGGAGACCAAGAACAACACTGAGATGATCACGAAGACCCTCCAATGGCTCCCTCTTGATAACACCCACATGGTTCCCCCTCACTGTCCACGTGGACGTGGATTATCTCATGTGGAAATCGGATATTCAACTCACAGTTAGAAAGAGCACGAGGAATTTCATAGACACCATTATCATTGATAAGGATCTTACCTTCCAAGTGACATTTGTCTATGGAGAAACGTATCACACCAAAAGATATGATGTATGGAATCAGATATCTTCTCTTCAACCACCATCAGGGAGCCCATGGTTTCAAACCAGAGACTTCAATGAAATCACTGACAATACTGAAAAATCCGAAGGCTAAAAGGGATGAAGATTTTCAGATTCGATAGAAGGCTAAAAGACAATGTTGAAGTCAAAAATCTAATCCAAAAAGTATGGGTTTCAAATCCTTACCTTGATGTAGAGGATCGCCTAGGCCTTTGTCGGAGATAAATCTGTAAATGGAGTAAAGCTTTTCATGAAATTAACAGGAAAACCTTGGTCTTACCCCGAGCTCAACTGGATGCAGCAATGTCAAATCTCATTCCTAACAATGACCTGATACATCAACTAAATATGAGTTTACTACAAAGTTATATAAAAGAAGAGGAATATTGGAAACAAAGAAGCTGACAACTCTGGCTAACACTAGGAGACTCCAATACAGGCGATTTTCATGCTACTACTAAGGCAAGAAAAACAAAAAAATAGAATGACAGTAATAGAAGATGATGGAGATGTACCTCACTTCGAGGAAGAGTAGATCGGAAAGGTTATCTACCAATATTACAACCAGCTCTTCATCTCCTCTTCTTATAATGGCCAACATATTGTTGAAGAATCTCTCTCTCCATGTGTGTCACCGGAAATAAATAAAGAACTCATACAAGATCCAACACCATCAGAGACAAAGGAGCAACCTTTGCAACTCATCCGGATAAAGCACCTGGACCTGACAGTTTCTAGCCAGCTTCTTCCAAGCTAAATGGGAAGTTGTAGGACATGATATAGTACGAGAAATCCAGCTGTTCTTCTCTTTATGATGTCTCAGACCTTCACAAAAATTGACACACGTCAGACTGATCCCCAAAATACTTGGTACAAAGAAAGTTGCTGATTACATGCCAATACCACTATGCAATGTATTTTTTATAATGCAAATAAAAATATAAATGTTCATATTTGAAGTTTGAAGTTTCTTTTTGAAGAACAAAAAAAAACTCCATATTTGAAGTTAGTGTCTTTTGGAGATTTTCTAACGACATTTATGCATTTTATCCTCTATATATTAAAGGAGAAACATTCTAAATAATGCATTCACACTATATTTTTTGAATAGACTGACGTGTCATCCTCATAATCGTTTAACAATTAATACGTTTACATCATAATTTTTTAACTACACTACAGACAATTTAATGTGTTCGCATTCTATTTTTTATTCAGTCACCTCATTTAGTTCATGCATATTTAACATTTGTAGTAGTGAAATGAAATTAATTAAAATTCTCTTTGTCCAACTACTGAATAATATCATTTTAAAAGAAATAAATAACAAATCATTAAGATTCACATCTACTAAAATGTTGGAATGAGAATGTTCTTAGAAAATGAAAATTTCATATCTTGTCGAACTTGGCTATGGTTGAGGTTTATGTTCACGAAAGCAAAAAATAATTTTGATTGGTTATGGAATTAAGAAAACTGAAATAAATAAAAAAAACTACACACGAAGTCGGATCTTTAGTTTAACCAAGTATTCTTTACGAAGTTTTCATATCATACCAAGAATTAGTAACATAATCAGATTACTAGAAAAAAATCAAAAATCAGAAAAGTTGTAAAAGAAAATAAACTTCGTAATATTGATTGAAAACATAATTCAGGTGCCGAGTGAAGAGATCACATTATTTTACACGTAACTCCAGCCCCTTTCCCTTGATTTTATCGTGTTTTTACTATAGTTTTCAAGATTGTTTTATAAGAAAATACATGTTATTTGTCGCAAAGTAAGATTTTCTGGACCATTTATCCAAAAAAATATATTGTAGCTTCTATGATTATATCTTTTTAAAAGTTTGGAATATTATGATTTTGAGTTGGAAATTTTTATTTTCAATACTTTATATTTGATCAAGAGAAATTGAAAAAAAATTAAGCACCTATTTTTACGTTTGGAAATTATAAGAATTTTGAACTTTTTTACTAAATAAATGAATTAATTATGAAATATATTTGTAATTTTGTGTAAGATTTTTTATTTTATTTTTATGTCAGTAGAGTTGTTATAATTAAAAATAAACTTGAAGTTTAAATTTAAAATTTATTTGTCATTAATATCTTTAATGAATTATTAGATTTCAAAATGTCTAATAGCCTATTTTGTAAATAATACATGAATATAATGTAATTTTATTCATACAATACTTGTATTTGATATTATGTTACGTTTAATTCATATTGTATTATTAAACGTAAGAGAGAACCAACCCAATTTTGTAATATGCCCAACAATATTAACATGACTTCCAATCATTTTTATTATTCTTAAAATATAGTCTAATAATTATGAATGTTAAATAAATCAAGATATTTGTTTTACACTTATTTTTTATATTAGTAGAAGAAAGTAAGAATGAGCAAATATATGGATCCGATGAACTATGAAAATATCTAAAAATTATCAACATAATGACAATATCTAAAGATAACTGTAAATGTTCAAAATACTTATAATATTTATTTGTTTTTATCCAATATATAAATTGAACTAAATTTTATGCAAATTGAAATATTTAGTCCTATATTATTTTATTTATGGATTTTAAGGACTTAAGTATATTTGGATTTTTGTTGAAAATATGTAATTAAAATGAACATCCGGACTCGAATCTAAATTGAACCAGAAATGATTCTAACAAAATGTAAACTAAAATTTGTAAATATTTGAATTCTGACTTAAAAATCTGTAATCTTAATATCGGAATAGATATATGAATATTCATACATAAATAATTATATGATAAATCTATAAATACAATGTACAATATTTAATTTATAAACAATTTCATTCTACACACAGCGCGGGTTACTACCTAGTTGTAACTTAAAAGGGGAAGGATAAATTTAATTTTCTTTTTGATTACAATTGTGTTATTTCCTTTTTGATTACAATTGTGTTTCTTTTATAGCTCGTTTTGGTGTTCTGAACCAATTATGCGTGCGTATTAAGATCAAAATCAAGATTTAGTTTGGTTTCGTTTCTTTTAATTTTTTTTTATCAAATCTTATTAGTATCAAAATAAAATAAAATAAAATAAAATAAAATATTTGATAACCTTTTCCTTTTAAAAACAGATTGTACGATTCTGCTTTGTTCATAAAATATAGTTTCATATAAAGTTACAAAAAATGATCTATGAACATTAAGTATCAGCTTCGTAGAAGCAGCATTTTCTTCAGGCGCGGCCAACCACAAAGCACATAGCAAATTCCTTGATGTCGATGTGACCGTCACCGTCGATGTCGAGATCTTTGAACAGCTCATCAGTTTGTTCCGATGTTATTGAAGGAGAGAAAGCACGGATCCCCTCGGAGAATTCTTCCAGTGAAATCTTCCCATCTTTGTTCTTGTCCATCCTTTTAAAAACCTCAACGTAATGCATTGTGGTTTGTAATGAAGATATGAATGATTATGTAAAGAAGTTTGGAAGAAGTTGTGTGAGAGATCTATATTTGTAGAGAATACAATGATTTGTAACTTTCTAATTTCCTTTTAACACATTTCCTTCTTCTGTTTTTTCCTTTTATATGCAAAAAAACAAAATTTCCTTCTATCTTGAAATTAAACTAGAAGCTTTCTCAAAATGGTTCGTTAAAGATTGAGCGTGACTTCAGAAGTGCACTGCCATGGAAAGAATTAAGATATGAAAATCTATATTTTCTCCAGATTGAAACAAATCACACTAAATAAAACTAAAACCAACTAATGGCATATAGGACTTATCATCTGAGCCAAAAGGAAATGGATCGATCTTCATAGAATAACTTAACGACAACAATACTCACTTAAGTTTTCTAGTCATGATCGAGGCCTAGATAGTTTTTAACAAAAATATGTTTAGGGGTATAGAATGAGCTTGGTCCGTCTCATGGGTGGGTGGGAGCTGTTATGAAGATAGGAAGGTTGTGACGAAACCAAGAGTGGTAGTTACGACTTTTGTAGATGGGTTGTTTGCAGGAAGCTTAAAACGCTAATTAGAGACATGACTACAAGTTGGACAAGTCTCATATCTTTGCCGTAAACATGTTGGATAATATGGATAGGTTCATGAATGTGAAAGGAAGAGTGGGCACACCCGTTCAAACCAAGCATTAGAGCTTTGATTGGTGACATGTTGTGTTGTTGAGTTACTTTGAGTTAGGAGTATAAATCATTGATAATTCAAAAATGTTACGAGTGATGTATTAAATTAAAAATTTTGAGTTTGATTTAGTATGTATTATAGTTGAGTTACAACTTTGAATTAAACCCTTTGTAAAATTGTTAACTCAAAACATAAACCTACATCAACCAAAATTCCATGTTTTATAAGTTGAGTTACAATTATAATTATTTTTTTTTTAAGAAAAATGAAAGTACTACAAGTTTTTAAAGCTTCGGTGTGCTTTTTTATTTTATTTTATTTTTTAACACTATTAGATTTGAAGAGTTCACAATGTTACAAAAATGATAAAACAAAGAAGAGATCGGATGAGATGTCATTAGACACCATACAAAAGTAGAAAGAACCTCTTCAAAGCGAGTAAGTGATGAAGCCACACCAGAGCATTTCTGGTAATGTACGACTGGTGATGCAGATCCCGAGTGGCACTTAAAGCAATTGCCGTTGCAGCTTTATTGCGTTTAGGAAGAGCGTGATCCAAACTCCATGAATCTATCTGTGTCAGAAGAAAAGAGATAGTGTGGCGAATATGGCTGAGGCGATGGTGATCATCAGGCTTTGTGAGGATGTCATGTAGGCTCTCCGAGGAAGTCTCAAAAATAATATTTTAGAAATGTAAATTATGCAAACATTCAATCCCCCCCCCCAAAAAAAGAGCCCACAAGTCTGCCTCTGTTTTTGTGCGCATACAAGAATAGGTTCGACGGCTATGCATGATTGTACATCCATTTTTATCACGTAAAATCCATGAAACACCACTAAGATGATTTGAATTTACCCATGAGGATCCAACATTACATTTGAGGAAACCTATGGCGGTTTTTTCCATCGAACCATTTCCGTATCGACATCACCCATTCCATTCTTCAATCCGGTGAATGTATCAAACCATGTAGATTCTTCTTCATAGGCTTTCTTAGCAATAAAAGAAGACTCAATAACCTTGGTTTCAAAAACAAAAATCTTCCTAGCTTTCAAATTTCCCACAGCAACCATGGAAAAACTTTTCTTGTATGTATATTTGTAGATGAGCTCTTAAAAATCTTGATTAAGTGCACAAAGTTAAAAAATGTGGAATTCCGAGAGAAACCTCCTAAAGGTACTGGGAAGTTAGATTGCTCCCATGTGGCGCGTGCTTTAACACATGTAAAAAGAACATGACAAATACTCTCAACACTATTACCACAAACAGAGCATGCTGGGTCTATTGGAATACCCCGAGTAGTCAAACGCTGCTTGACAGCTAATTTTTCTTTGATAAAATTTAAGAGATCTTTTTTGAACCTTGAAAATATTCAGGGAGGCCAAGATACAAACCTTCACCACCTTCCATCTCTATACCAAAAACCCCTTTTATTGCCTGTTTGGTCTCATCGTCTATTTTTTTTTCCCAAAAATGATGGAAGACTTTAAAGGGTTAATCATTTGTCCAAACGCATCCCCATAAATTTTCAGACCTTTCAAAATTTCTTCACTATCTCTGTCAGAGGCTTCACACAACAACAAGCTACCATCAGCAAATAGCAAATGGTGCACAAAAGGGATGCCCTTAGCTAACTTTATACCATATAATTTTTCTTGTGCTTCAGCTCTGTTTAAGACATGAACTAAAGCTTCGGCACATATAATGAAAAGAAAAAGGGGATAAAAGATCTCCCTGCCGTATTCCTCTTTCCGGTTTAATAAACTCATGGGAGCGTCCATTAAGTAGCACCGAGAAAGTGACAGTAGTAATGCATGGTATTATCCAAACAACCCATTTACGATCAAATCCCATTTTTTCTAGTAAGAATTCAAGGAAGTTCCATTCTACGCGATCGTAGGCTTTTGACATATCTGTCTTAATAGCCATACTTTCTTTACCAATTTTATCATTAGTTCGCAGTCCATGTACCAGTTCATGCGCTATAATGACATTGTTTGTAATTAACCTGCCTCCAACAAAAGCCCCTTAAGTCTCTAATATTATATTAGGCAGAACCACCTTCATACGATCACATAGAATACCAAAAATGATTTTGTATTGTACACTTCAAAGACTAATGGGACGCATATCCTTCATCTCTGTATGATGTAAAATTTTTGGTAACAGAAATAACTATGTATGGTTCCACCCAGCAGGAAGGATGGCTGTTTTAAAAAAAAAAACTTGAACATCATCAATAATTTTCTACCCCACAATGTGCCAGTATTTTAGGTAAAAAAAAAACAATAAGTCCATCTTCTCCAGAGCCACTACTACTTTTAATACCAAATGCTGATTTCTTGATTTCGTCAAGAGAGACCTCTCTGGTTAACACTGTGTTCATCTCTGAGGTAACTCTGCTCTCAAAACCCTCAAACAAAGTTTCCAAATCACTTTGATTTGAGCTTGTAAACAAATCTCTGAAATACTCAGTAGAAATATGTTCTTTAGACCTTTCAGAATAATGTTCATTTCTAAAAATATCTTTAAGTATTAAAATTTTATTTCTCATTTTTTCCCCTTAACCACCTTATGAAAATATGTTGTATTTCTATCCCCTTCCCGTAGCCATTCCTCTCTACTTTTTGTCTCCAAAAAATCTCCTCTTCCCTATAGGTCGTAGCCAAATCATGTCTTAACCTCCTCAGCATACCAAAAATGGGAAATTGTTTTGAGCTCTCTATCTCTAAATCGATCTGCAACCGTTCTATTCTTGTTTTAGAATTCCAGTCATTAGTTTTTTTAAGCTTGGACAATTCCGACCGACATCGAGCAATACGATCAAGAATCCTTAGATTTGAGTTAACGTTCTCTACATCCCAACCACGGACAATGGCTTCATCTACCCCTCTCTTACTATACATACGTTTATCAAAATAAAATCGTCCCCTTTGCAAATTCTCAAGCTCAAGGGCGAACTCTATACGTATAGGTCGACGATAAGAAGGCCACATAGTCATATAGTCCGTAGACGATTGAGGAAAGAGACGAAACCATTCATCCTTACCAAAACTCCTATCTAGCCGACATTGTACCCAGTTATGATCCCGCATACCTGCCCATGAAAGGGTATTTCCCGTGGTCCTCATCTCCCTAATTTTACATGTTTCAGCCATGTTTAGGAGATAAAAAAAAAACGTGGATTCATCTCTAGTAACACCTCCCAATTTTTCACCATTATGCATTAGCTCTTTAAAATCACTAACCAAAATCCATGCATCATCTCTAACCACACCAATATCCGTTAATTTATCCCAAACGTAGCGTCTTCTTCCTCTTACTGGATCACCATATATACATGAAAGAAAAAAAGACAAAGGACCCTATTGTCACTTTAAGATCAATAATTCTAGTATCACTATATAAAATTTCAACTGAGTAACAACATTTCCACATTAAAGCTAAACCACCACTACGGCCAATGGGTTCTACAGTGTGTAAACAATCATACCCTAAGCTTGATTTTAAAACATCCATATAAGCTTGATTTTAAAACATCCATATAAGCAACCTTTTGTTTAGTCTCCTTGAGAAAGAGAAAGTCCAGAAAATAATGATGTCGTAAATCCCGAATACGTTGAACTGTATCCGAACTACCAGCACCCCTATAATTCCAACTCAAAATACTCATAAAATATTATTTTTTAAGGATACTCCGTAGAATTCATATTAATAGGGTTTAATGAGACCCAATTAATTAAATCTTTGTACTCCATAGAAAATTCAAGCAAATACCAAAATATTTGTCCGCCAATGTTTGAAAATTCAGCCAAGAAAACCTTCATACCGGCCAAAAAATACCATTTATACCTTATTTTGGTTCTACTCTGCATAAACTAAAACCAATGTCCACAAAGAGTTAATAACCAAATTTCCGCATCATTCCTTAACATCATACTAGATTTTGACCCGCGCTTTTAAAGCGCGGGTATATTTTTACTATTTTGATAAAATTTATTTAAATTAATTATTCAAACACAAAAATTTTAAAATTGTTTTATTAATATTTAAAAAGTTATATTATAATTTTTGATTTTACGTAATGTTTCCATATCCGACCCAGATCTATAGTTGAACCGGTACATCCGACAATTTTTATATAATCCACACTACAAAAAAATGAGTGAGTTGTATCACTTAATTTATATCAGAAAAATAAGTGATACTATGTTACATTACTTATTTGTAAATGAGACAAATATTTGAAATTTCAAATCAGTTACAACAAGTGATGTAGTTATTCGTTAATTTCACA